TTAACAGATCTACTGCAGATAAACTTATACAGATCTCTGACATACAGTACTAATGAGCAACAAAAGTTATGAATGATACAGAAATCCCAGCCCTTCCTGAGATCTGTCCGATGTGATGACACCACTCATTCAATGTGCAATCCCAGTCGATCAAGGATAAGTCAACATGCTATCTCCCAGCACGCTTTTCTCTTTCTTCCTTTCTTTCTCTGGGAAGTAAATTTGGACAGTGAAAACAGGAAGTAGGGCCTACCGTGTGACTCAAACACAGTGCCACTATTTTTAGACTCACACACACATTTCCTTGAGTCCTGCGAGGACGCCCCTCTACTATAGCCCGCTGGGAAACAGGGTCGAGAAGAGAGCCGGCCTGAGCGCTTCCTCTCTTCTGTCTGTGTGTGACTTAGGCTCAGGAAACCAAACTGGACTGCAGTGAAAATGTTGACGTGCCTTAGAGCAAGACAGCAAACCCAACAGCTCCAGAGTCAGCGCAGAGGAGGTCAGTGTAGATCAGAAGACCAAACTGGACACCATGCCTCCACAAATATGAGAAAACTATCAAACTGTGATTCCACCCAACAGACAACAGGCCTGTGTTTGTACAGTTCGGAGCATTAACCAAACTGGGCTCATCACAAACATAATCTGACATAATGCAAAGAGTTACAGCACAACTGTTGGTCTGTTTATCGATGAGAGCCACATAAATGTCCACTCACGGTAACAGCTTCACACTGTCCGACAATGACGCCAATCACAACACGTTTCATCCTCTGTGGCAACAACAGTCAACCTGCAAAACTGACTTTCACTTCTCAACCTGCAGCTGGTTCAGAAAATGTTAACCACTTTAATCCCACTCGCCCATCAGACCTCATTACATTCCCAGAAGTACGGGAATAAGTTCACACATAATACTGGAGCTGTGACACAGTGAGACGGTTTGGACTGAGACCATTTCAGCTACATTTCAACCTTATAGCTGCTTGAAGGGGGAAAAAGGAGACACAACCATATGTTGAAAGAAATCCTCGATCTGAATGTTTTCACTTCATGCTATCAAATCAACTGAAATAATGTTAGTGGATAAAGTAATGAGAGGAATATTTGTCTATGGCAAATTCAATCAATGAAATACTCAAATCAATATTCTTCATCACATTGATGCAAACTCAAAAATCCAATATTTGGATAAAGTAATTCTGTCATTGTTTGCAGCGTTGCTCACACTACATCCAGATGGATTAGGGAACACCTTGGTAGGAACAGTGTGAATCTCTGATGGTGAGAAAACTAATCTCATCTCATGGGCAGTACCCTAGTCCATCCCAGTCCATCCCCACTAATGGGCTATTCACTTAGGTTACATATAATCAAAACTGCAGCCCTTGTCATTTGGAAACTGCACTCACACTTTCAAGGTAGTTATAAAAGCCACCATGTAGTCATCTCTACTGAACAGCAGTGGAAAGGTGCCTTTGAGCAGCCGCAATGAATCAGTGCAAAGAGCTGATCATGTGCTTTGACCTTTCCAGTGTATTAATGTCTTAACACAAGATCGAGAGCTTACATTAAAACCTACACTGAGGCAGTCAGGTGCTCTGCATTCCTCAGAAAGCTGGACACATACAGTAACTGCTGCACCAATGGGGGGGGCCCCTGCATGCAACCTGCTGTGTGTCACACTCGTTAGCTCATCAATCAGAGCTCAGCTTGTTTTCTCTCTTCCCTTT